TTATGTGGCGATCAGGAAAAGTTTATTTTCTTAAATATCACTTACTTGAATAAGCGATACCCATCTTCTAAGTGGATAAATAACTTTTTCAATCAGGAGAAAAGTTATCAATACTTGAATGAAACAAAAAATACCCCTTTTAATTATTTTTTATAGATAAAATGAGCATTAGAATAAATAGCTTATCCAAACGAAAAGCAAATAGGGTGATAGAATTAATATTGGCATTTCTACTTGACTTGGTTAGTGAGAGGCTGCCAAGCATGGTTTTTTAAAATGAACCGGTGATCAAATCGGTCAGGGTCTGGTTACCGGTCTGAATGATCTGACTGTTCTACCCGAAAGGCCAGCCCATTCTGACAAAAAAATTAAAAAAAAAATAAAAATTGGAAAACGGTCAAAACCATTTAAACGATTAACCGGCTGGTTCAGCGGTTTACTGCCCAAAATCAACAATTTTGAGAAAAAAAAACAATTTTAGAGGAAAACAAAACCGATTAGATGCCAGATTCCCGATTTTCCGGTCCGGTTTTGAAAACAGTGCTGCCAAGGCTTACACATGCTCGCCAAATGCCAATCGCATTGTGTGGTGCCGCGTCGTGTGCGCATGTGTCTTAGCATCCTCTCCTTGAGCTAACTATTTTTTAATTTAATTCGTTATTTTCTTTTTGCCTTTGTTTTGCCATTAATGTGACGGATGATTTGTTCTTTGCTTAATTACAAGATATTGGCTTTCTTTGTGGGAGTCTGGGAGTTGTGGTTTGTGTGTCATACTGTCATTATGTTCACTTGACACTTATCAGTTACATAACTTGTAAGACAAAGGCAAAAAGAATGTAGAATAGCCTGGGGGCGAGGRGAGGACTCTCCCCAAATGTAGCCTTCCATTTGTAGTAATAAGGAATTAAGGAGGCGGGATGTAGGGGGTGCAAAATCCGATCCTATTCTGTCAGATTTTTGAATCAGATCGAGATCAGGTTACATCGAATTCGAATCAATTCCTATTCGAATCGAAAAATCCAATTCGATCTGACACATTATATATATATATATATATATATATGTTATTTTTTATTTATAAATATGTTTATATTGTATTTTTTGTAATTTTATATTATTTATTTTTTCATAAAAGTATATAGTAGGGGTGGATTCGAATCAAATGCATAGCTATTTGAGCTTGGCTCGTAGGAATAGTATTAGGCTCGAGCTCGATTCGAGTTAGAGACTTGAGCTAGAGTTCGGCTTTGTTCATAACTCACAAGTTTAAGCTCGGCTTGTCTCAAACTCGACTATAAGCCAAGTTTTTTAAAAAATAAAAAATTATTTTTTTATTTTTTTAGACAAAAAATTAAGAATTATAAAAATTATTTAATATCATATACAAAAAATAATTATAAAAATCATTTACTATTATACATAAAAAATAAAATATTATATATAATAAAATTATTTATTATATATATATGTATTTATGTATGTATATATAATAAAAATTATTTATTTAATAATAGGCTCGCAAGCCACACGAGTCGAACCGAGCCAAGCCAAATATCTGGCTACTTGAGCTTGGCTTGCCCAAAAACTATGAGGCTTGAATTTGAATTCGGCTCAACTCAAAAGCTTGTAAGTTTCAAGTTAACACAATTCAAGCTCGATTGTGAGCCAAATTTCCAATTAAAATAAAAAATATACATATAAAGATTATTTTTAGTTTACATATAAAAGTCAATAATTATAAAAACTAGTTATTACATATATAATAAGAAAATAGTATATATATGTATATTATTTTTATATGTATAATAGTTTTCTATTTATTACTTTTTATATTATATATATGTAAAAACTGAATTAGGTTCATAAGCCTTATGAATCGAGCTTTATCAGGCTTGAATTCAGCTCAAAACCCAATTTAGACCAAGCCGATTTGAACTTTTCACAAGTTGAGTTCGAATAGCTCATGAAAAACTCAATTTGTATCCACCCCAAATCATGACAACTTGCACTACCTCTAATGCTAGGTTTCAAAACATTCTTAACAAAAGCTTTAAAATTATCTATGCTTACTTGTATGTGAGGAAAAGATGCAGCTCATAAAGTTTGATCAACTACTTTTAGTCTTTAGCCACTAACTTAAGCGAGACTTCAAAATGGGAACCCACAATCGTCGTGTGTTGTGCTATTTTTCCACTATTTGCTTCTCCATTAATATTTTCTTCAGTTGAAAGAACATTAACTTCTACAACTATATTCTTATCATTAGGGGTGCAAATGGATCAAATTTGAACTAAATCAGGCAATATCTAAATTTGAATCTGATTAAGAAATTTAATACCCGAATTGGATTTAAGATTTGAGAGATATTGAAAATCAATGTTCAAATTTGAATTTGATTAAATATTCAAATATTCGATTTAATTCGAATTCGACCAATTAATTATTTTAGATAATTAATAAATATTTTATTTATAAAGTATATAAATTATATGAAATATTTAAATATTTTATATATTATATATAAGAATTAAATAACCAATCAAATTCAAATATTTATCAAATCTAATTGAATCATATCAAAATTAATTCGATTATGTCAAATCTAATCGAATTTAAAATTAGATTTCCCTATACCATTAACACCTCCTACTTGTTATCCATTTAAAAGACGTAAAAAGATTAACAATGTTGGGAAGAGAGACCAAGGCCCCTTAACTGTTATGTTTCTAGTTACCTCCAAAATGGGAGGCATACATTGAGGATTATGATTTATGAAGACGTTTCACTCTCTTCTTGTGACTCACCTTCACGTTGCTCGTGATTCGTTAGTTCGAAAATGATGTACAGACCCTGTTTTGTCATGGTATATGTGCATGTGTTTTGTGTTAATGAGTGAATGTACAGTAGTTTCACTTTGACTATATATATTAAGGGGGCGTTTTTTTTTCAGATTTTGAGGTGGGGTGGGTGAGAGTTGGTGAATGGGATTTTGGTTACCATTGACAAAATGTCTTATATTTTTTTTTTTTTGATTTATGTGGAGATTAAGAAAAGTTTATTTTCTTCAGCACTTATTCAGATAAATGATGCCCATCTCTTAGGTGGGTAAATAACTTTCTCACCTAAGGAGAAAATTGTCAATACTTGAATGGGACAAAATACCCTTTTTAATAATGGATTTTTATGACTAAAATGGTCATTACTTTATTTATATAAGAAATAAAAGAACATGGGTAAATGCATTTACCCGGATAAGTGTTTCACATGTAATTGCATTTACCTGGATAAGTAACTTACCGAAAAGCAAACGGGACCTGAGTAGAACATTGGATTGGGTGGTCTCCTATCATATTGGAAGGGTGTTAGAATGTATTCTATTGGCAGGAAATCTTTTTTGGGCAAACAAGGTGTTGGGATACTCATATGAGTTAAGTGAAAGAGTCCCACATTCGAAAAGCAAAATAAGTATAAGGGACTTAAATACAAAAGTGGCCCATAACCATGTTTTCATACCGCCATTGATCCGGATGGTCAGACCATTTGACTTGGGAACCGTTCAGGCAATCGGTTACGTTTTATCTCAAACCCGGTCCTTGGCCAAAAACTATTAAATCGGTCAACGACTTAATCCGAGCGCCCGAACCGTTGACTTGTGGACCCATTCAACAATTTTTTGCCATTTTTTTATTTTTAATTATTTTTTATTTTTTTATTTTTATTATCAGAATGGACTACCCGTTTAAAGCATACGATCAAACCATCAACCCAAAAACTGGTGGCGAGAAATATTCCCCCAAACCGTTTTTTAAAACCATAATTACAAGTGGTGTCCGTTTCTTATATACAAGTCTCACCTCCCACGCATACATATACCTGAGTTCTCCAAGTTTCGGAGGGTCCAAATCAGATTGTTCTTGACAGTCTCCCGAATCAAATGAGATAACTATATGGCTATTAATGTTGCATATTAATATAATGTAACCCAATTAAAGCAATTATGTCGTAGATCCATTGGATAGAATTCGGATTGGAGACATGGTGGGTTTGTGGGTCTAAAATTTAATCTTATTCTCTGGGTGCTTGTACATATAGTAGCTCAGTTTGAGTGCTGATCAGTAAATTTTGAACTGATCAATTCAGACTTTGTCTCTCCTCTTTTAAGTAATTGAATTTTTCTTGCTATTAGGTCTTTCTGCTTTAGGACACAAATTATATATACTAAACGCAGATGAGGTTTGGAACAGAATAGCCGTGGCCAAACTTGTACTAAATTAATTGTCTGAGAACTGAAATCACAAGGAAAAACTAAAAACTATTTCAAAATTGGATGTTTTATGTACGTTGGCCAGTTTTATGTGTCACAAGGTGCGTGATAGAGCTTTCAGCCTTTCGCTACTCTTTCACGGCCAGGTATGAATGCATTAGCTGTAAGTTTGTTAGCAACTAAATATAATAACTGTCACCAAACCGACTGCCATGTATTTACTCTCTCTCTCTCTCACACATCATTCCATCAATTTTTAGTACCCTCCAACAAAGGAAGAAGAAATCCATCAACCCTGGTCGTCGTCAGAAACCTCTGCTTCTCTCTTCACTTATATGCGCAAGTTAGCATGAAGTAGAAACATGCATGCTTGTCGCCTGCATGAGAATGACAGCTGCCAGATGATCCTGGCCGGCCCGGCCCTGTCAAATGCCAGATAGAATTGGCGCATCTTAGCAAATTGCTACAGCCAATTTTAGCCTCGAAGGTCTGATTGGACTTGGGTCGAGGACATTTTGGCTCTCTAACCAAGCCAACGAGTTCAACCATCCCGGTCCGACCATATATCATTTTGTGTGATTTAAGAAGAGTCATCACATTCCACTGAACCACATCTTCTGTTACAGTACTTGCTGGTTTATCTACTATCAGCTACTGCCCCTACTATCCCCAAGTTGCATTCATGATTCATTTCACATTTTCAGCACGGTGCCTCTCTCTCTACTGTACCCAATGTTCTCATGTCGGAGGAAGATGAAAGAAATTCACGATCTCGAGAGTGCGATAAGAGAGTGGCATTTAACGTCCTTTAAATGCCCCTACCTGTCACCCACCGCTTAGTCGGTCACCCTTCCTTCTATAAAGGAGATCAAACACCAGCTGATCAACTCAGGTGCTGAAGTAGTGAATCGTTCACTCCGAGTCTGAGAGAGAGAGAGAGAGAAAGAGAGAGAGAGAGAGAGAGAGATGGAGAGATGGTGTATCATGTTAGTGCTCGCTCTAACAGTTATCAACACGAGTGCTAGAAATGTACCTAAGGACGCTGCCCTCAAAACCACTGCCAAAAACGTACCCAAGGACGCTGGCCTCAGCGACCAGAAGAACTTCATCACGTATGGTGGCGTTGGCGGCTTTGTCGGGGTTGCTGGAGGAGCTGGTGCAGGTGGTGGGTTCGGTGGAGCTGGCGGAGTTGGCGGAGTTGGCGGCCTCGGTGGAGCTGGCGGAGTTGG